GTTTTATGTTAAAATATAAATTTTATAGTAAAAAAACAAAATTGTAATAATTCTTATTTTGCATATTTTGCTACTTTAAAAAAAACAAGCAACAATTTATAAAATATATTTCTAATTAAAAATGTGCATGACACCTTTCAGAAATATAGTTTAGTTATGAAAAGAGGCTTTCGAAAAAATTCCTGGACAAATATTAACACGCCAACAATTTTAAAATTTTTGGTTTGGGGAAAACCTCCGCGATTAATCACTGAAGTGTTATTTGACACAAACTTATAAATTGATGATTAAACCTTTTAAGTAATCCCTATGTAATTAGACTGGATAAAGCAATTAATTTATCATTTAAAAAAAATTGTAATTATTTATATATTATATTATTCTTAAAACTATTTGAAATAAATGCCACATATTTTACTCAAAAAATAAAAAAACTTAGATATATTACCGAGCTTTTCAACAATGTCTACAACTTATTCCAGAAAATTTTACTACTTCCTTAACAAAGAAAAAACCCTGGCAAAATTGTTATTTTAAAGACTCAAATAGATTTATATATCCATTTCGCGGGGCTCGTTGATGATTGACGGGAATTGATTTTCCGATAATGTCCCAAGATAGATTGCTGGAGAAAATCAATAAATATCTTCCCGAATCTTGGACTGCTTTCCTGACACCATTTGGGAGAGTTTATTATTACAAGTATAATTTTAAATCAATTCATTAATATTAAGCTAACTTTAATCGATTTTAAAGGAGACTAAAAGGCTCCATTCTTTATTGGTAATATGGATAGGGTTCTAACTTCACTTTTGGTGGATTAAAATATAAACTATAAGGGCCCAATATCTTCCATTGTCATTAATATTACTTTAAAATAAATATCATTATTATAAAATATATCAAGGGAATTTAGAATGCCTGAATATTTTATGAATTTTTTCTTTACTATTGTGAAAAGTCTTATTTTATAATCATATACATTTCTATTTCTTAATTTCTCTAAATGTTGTATAATATTTATGAGAAAATTATTTAATTCATACTCTAAAATAACTAGTATATATTGGTTTTATGAATCTATTTAGAAGTAATTTTAGAATTTTTAACCCATCGATGTCACCTCCCATATAACTTTTATTATAATCTCTAATATTGGCACCGACAAATTTCCTAAAATGGGATGTTGAAGATCCAGAAATTATAGATTTTTAAAATTAATTTTGGATTTTTTTTATAATTTTATTAAATTTAATATTTTAAACAGCGCTGATTTCATTCATTACATCTGTAGTTAAATTTAAAACAATTTAATAACATAGTGAAAATATTATAATCTTTAACTTATATGAAATAAACGGCTCATTCTGAGCCGATTTTTAAAAACGGCTAACTCAATGTTTTATTAGGAAAAATATTATGGAAGCCTTAAGATTTTGCTAATAAGTGGTACAAAGGTTTGAACATCTATTAACGAAATCTCGAGGCATAGACAATATTTTAAAAATCGGCTTAAATCGAGCCGTTTAACAACACAACTATGCAGGGGTCTATAATATTAGTACAGTAGCATTTTATTTTTGACGTAGCCTGTAAATATGGCAACAGAAGAGTTTCCCAAAATTGAAGATTATAATATATTAAACTCAATCTCAACTAAATTTCTATAAATTAGCAATTGAGCTAAACATGGCTTGAACTAAGGACAATATGATTTTTCATTTTCGATAAATGTTCCAATGTCATTGAAATACATCGATCTTTTTTGCTTATTTTTTTCTATAATTCAATAAAATTTCTGCAATATAATAATCTATGTTGAAGTTAATTTTAGAATTGCCTCTTATGCTGGTAAACGCGTTTTGTTCAATACGTGCGGTTACGTATCCAAATCAAAGCTGATTCTTTATAGAGATACTATTTTTTGAAATAAAAATAGAGATAATTATTTTACACAATATTTTAAAAATAACAAATACCATTTTATCAAAATTTCGCAATTTATTATAATCGTATCGCATATTTATTAACATCGCATCTCAACATATGTTTTCTTAATTTTATCATAGCGGTATCATTATATCGCCTCATGTTTAAATCTTACCTATTTATTGGCTTGATTTTACAAATAACGCAGCATTAAAAACCAACCACACCGCCTGAACAAAACGCGTTTACCATAAATTAGGCTTTATTTAATTTTTGTTTTATAAAGTATATATATATATATATATAAATAATTTAATAAAGTACAAGGAATTGAAAATCCGACAAGAAAAAGGATTCAAAATTTGACATGATAAAATTTGTTATTTCATATCTCTTTCTTGTTCGATTAGGTTTATTTTTACTATATGCGTGATAATTTTTTCTTTGGGAAAAAAATATAAACGATCTAAAAATATCTTTTAGAATACTGCAGAGTTGGCTTGTCATTGTCAGGTATCAACATCAATAAACTTAAAAATGTTAATATTATATTTCCATTCATCTTCAGATCTTGCCTGATTTGAATACCACAATTAGTGATCTGCAAAGCCCGGTCCGATCTCCCCCTGGGTCCGAATTTATATTGGTCTGGGGTGAGCCTATTTTTTAAAAATAATTTTGTTCGAGTCGAGCTATGGCAAAAAATTTTAATTATAATTTATGTTCGGGCCTAAAGATCTCTAATAAAAATTATAAATAATGAATTAAAAATATAAAAAGTTCAAAAAAAAAATTAGGAGATAGGAAATGTTTGTAAACATAATTAAATTATCAAAATTATTTCTGAATATTTAAATTTATTGCTTAAACATTAAAATAGAAAAATAAAGTTTATATTTTGAGTTTGAGAGATTTCTTCCCTATATGTATTTTTAAAACTCGAGCCAAAGAGCGCAACGAACCTTTGATCTGAAAAAAATTTGCAGCGGACTGCAAGCGGGTTTGGGCCTAAAAATTTACATTTTGTAGGTCTCTAATACTAATAGCGAAAATTACTATTTAAAGAAAAGATCCGATTAAAAAAACCAATCAAAAAAGGAAAACGCTCAATAAAGAATGAAAAGGCCCGACCAAAATATGAAAATTTCAACAAGGGGAAACAATTCAATCAAAAAATAAATTTCCATTCAAAAAGAGAAAATCATTATTTATCTTTTTTTTAAAATATCTTTTATTGTTTTTTTTGTTTTCGTTTTAATAATCCTTAAATGTCATTTTTGTGGCATTTTTCTTTAATTTTTTGATTATTTTTAATTTTTTTTCTTAGTTTTTATCTAACTATTTGCTTTTTTTAATTTTATGCCATCTTTAATTTAATTTAATCATCTTTCCTCAATTATTTTATTTTTTTTCTTCTCTTTATTTTATTATTCTTTTTTTTTGTCTTTTTTTAAAAAAATAATTTATTTATTTTTTTGTATTTTTGTCATTTATGGCCATTCTTTTTACTTTTTCAATTATCTAATTACATTTGGCGGAAATAAAATAGGGAAGATCGGGGTATTAGTATTTTGTATTTTTATTATATTTTGAAACACTAACAAAACAACAAATTATATATTTATAAGTAGACAAAATCCTCATCTACAAAATATATAAAAAGTGCTTTCTATCTGTAAGGAGCTGTGATTAATTATGTAAGGTATATCATTTTCGCCATCTTACCCTATACCCAGGGTAAAGTGGGATAGCATCGGGGTAAAGAAGTTAAAATAAAATTTTACATACCTATATTGCTTAATTGAATATTATATTGTAATTTTGACAGCTATTCATCACTTTTAGTATAAACTAAAATACAGGAATATAAAAAATTATATCAAAAATAGCATATTTTGAATGTGCCCATTTTAGACACATTGTACATTTCAATTTCTTTTCCCCTTTGCATCTATCCATCAATATTCTAAATAGCACCCAAACTGTTTATTAATGTTCCCTTTTGCGCAAAAGTATCTTTTTATATGGTGTAGACTAGTGTTGTAAAAAATCCGATTTTGGTCGAATTTCCAAAATACCTCGATTAGGATTTTAGCTAAAAAAATATTAAGTAGGCATCGATATTTGATAAATAAATATTTAATTCTGACAGCTATGAACAAAATCAATAGGCTTGGTGTTATTTTGGTTATAATCTTAATAGGACCGTTTTTTAAAATCGACCCGAATCAGGATTTTTAAAAACACTAGTGTAGACTTTAATATTTAAAAATTGTTTCTTTACAGCTTTAATCAGAATGGAACTTTAACTTTTTACCCATAGCAACTTTACTTCAATGTGATATATATTGAGTAAATCGTTATTGCCTGACTTCTACTTATGCTATATATTAACTTCGGAAATTTTTATTTTTATAGCTATGGCTTTAAGGAAAATATATCCAAACTTTTAATGGTCCTTAATATATTATGCTGAAATAAAAATAGGGATTTTAATAATTTTTGGGTAAACGGTTTTATTTGGAAGTTTAAAAATGAGTATAGTTAAGAAATTCATCTTTAGTAATAAAGTACTATTCTAAATAAATGTATTTTAGCTAAAATTACAAACAATAAGTGGATTATAATCTAGATACAACCTGCAAACCCAACCCAATCGCAACTAGCTGAAAGATATTAAATTATTTTTTAAATTGGGGGCTGACTATAACTTTTTTTATATCTATATTAGAATATAAAATCAAAAAAATCACAAATGCTCGACCGGGGTGAATTATTTCGCTTAATTATATGACTGAGGCAAAAAAAAAGGAAAATGAATGATTAAAAGTGATAAAAAAAATGGAGATTAGAAAGAAATACCGGTTCTCCTTTTTTTTTGAAAGGAAATTATTTCTTTTTTGATTGAACTTTTTCAGTTTTTTTGATCGGACCTAGTCCTTTGTTGATTGATGTTATTTCATTTTTGATTGAATTTTTTCCTTTTTTATTTGACACTTTTCCTTTTTTGATTGGGACTAAAATAACATTTTATTTTGACCCCACTCAGTGTTCAATAATAATAAAATTACCTTAGTCTAATTAAAAGAATGTTTGAGTTGGTTCCGTATGGGCATCCTTGCTTCCATCTCGAAGATTTCTTTCATTCTTCATCGATCAACGAGAGGAGGAGGAGAGGAGAGGAGAGAAAAAAGCAGGAAAGGAATACAAAATCATAAAATTAATTAATGATTTTAGGTATAAGATTTATATTTGAATATCTGCTGACAAAAAATGTTTGGTTCTTGAAACTTTGCAGAAATTAAAGTGTAGTAGTTATAATGAAGTTAAAAAGTCATACTTTAATTAAATAATATTTTATAGTTAGTCTTAACTCATAAATATGAATAAAATATCTAATACATAGAATATAATTATAAGGTAATTAAACTGAATGGATTACTGAAACTCGCAGCCATTTCCCTCAAATTTGGGTTTTATAATTTCAATATGGGGTTATAGTAAATATTAAAGAGTTGTGCATAGACCTCTAGCCAAAGGAAATTATCAATATTTCACAAATATCACTTTCAACAAATAAAATAGACTCTTCCCCCTCACTTCTCTTCTCATAAAATTAAAAAGATAAATTATTACAATACAAAGAAAATTGATAATACATTATTATAAAGTTAATAATTTATATCATAAAAAAACATATAATAAAACTAACTATATTTTTAAAAAAAACAAAGATAGGTGTAAACTATAAATCTGTAAAATGCTGGTCTGAGGGCCGCCAATTAAATTTATTGTGGACACGTCCCTTTTCCCATCTCTCCTACAAAAATGTGATTCCTTAGAAAATTTATAGCTATGCCTATGGGTTATATTAATAAATTATAATATGTTTAGGAAATTAGCTACAGTCAGGACTATAATAAAATAATTTATTTTACCATTATTTTGGGCTATCATAAGAATTCAAATTAATTTCTGGAGATATAATTTAACTTCGTTGATTCAAAATGCAAATTAAGGGATTAATATATATTTATTTGTTCTTAAAAATTAAAACTTTCATTTTTTTAAAAAAAATCAAAATAAATTCTTTCAAAAGTGTTTTAATAATATTTTAAATACTTTTTTTATGATTACATTTTAGTTTAGTAAAGAAAGAATAAAATTTAAAGATTTTAGTTTTTAGATATAAAAAAATAAAATATAAATTTTAAAATAATTTTGACTTGAAATTGATTTAAGTTATTAGTTATTTTTTTTGCTATTTAATATATATATTTTTTCTATTATATATATATATGATAAAATAGGAATCGATTTCTAATTTAAAAATATTGATAAACAAAAAACATTATATATTCAATGAAAAACCTCCATAAAGTAACTCCTCATCGGCTTTTATTTTACTGCTCAATACAGGGAAGGGATCACTCTTTAAAACGTTTGGATAAATTATTCTAAATAAGATTTTGGAAAGAGGGTTTACACAAGTAAAGGGTCAAGATATGAAAGTGATATGCGATCTAAAAGTGGTCACTTTTAGAGGTTTCATTCCAAATTAATTTATTATTATTATAGAAAAAATAGGTTTTTTTGTATTTGTTCATCTTTTTATCCACCACTCACGCTTCTTAGTATTTGACATGGGAATTCCTCAAAAAAAAATATATAAAACATTAAATTTAAAAAATAATTTATTTTTTTTTAAATTATATTTCAAATATTTATCAAAGAAATAATTTTTTAATTAAAAAAAGATTTTTTTAAAATAATTGTTAAATTTTTCTTAAGATTAATAGTCGAACGACTCAAAGAGGAAAGTTTCATCTGAAGGACAAGGATGGCCATATACTTTCCCCGGAAAATTTAACTTTTTTGTTTCTAAAGTTATATAATAATTAATAATAGTTATTTTTTATAACATCCTTTCAAATTAATTACAAAATTTTTTAAACCTTTTAAAAAAAAATTTCTTGCATTATTGTTCAAAATTCACTTATTCATTTACTTATTTATTCACTCATTCATTCACTAATTTATTCATTAATTTATTCATTCACTCATTCATTAATTAATTAATTCATTTATTCATTCATTTTTATGATTTCGTTTTATAGGATTTTTTTAAATGTTTCAATATTTTTTTTAACAAATTTTACCGAATCAGAATGGGAAACGAGTCAAATCTAATAAACCAGAAACTATTTTAAAAAATTTGACAAAAGGTAAACCCGCCATTTTGACATACATTCGGAACCTGGACCCGTTTTAGTCTACGTTCCCAAACTCTGCATATCTGTCTGATATTCAATTATAAGCACAAAATCAGGTTTCTAAAATTTGTGCTCCGGGTCGTCTCATAGACTTTATTCTTGCTGTTTGCTTTATAAATCAGTCAATTTTAACTCATATTGTGTTTAAAGAATATTGAAGAACAAATCAAGTACTAAATTTTGGTGTAAGTTTTAAAGGTTGTACTTAATTTTAGATTTTGTCAAAATTTTTATATTTTACTTACTCACCAATGGCTTATTGTGCTGATATATATAACACAAATTGTCAATAATTAGGTAGTAATCGCAGGCATAGGCTTCAAAAATTTTGTATTATGCGGTAACTTCAAGGGAGGGGGGGCAGTAAAATACCTGATCTGTTATATGAAATTTTTAAAAATTAACCAATATCAAAAATAAATTGTAACACGTATTTTGAATCCTTTTTTCGCGAGATAACATCATAGGCGATGTTCTTAATCTCTACCCATACTAAAATTATCAGAGGCCTGCAGGCCCGACCCTAAGCCTGGCCCAGGTATCAGAGCTGAGCCGGGCCTGAAAATTATTTTTTTTTTAAACCCGGGCTGGGCCGTAATTTTTTATAAAATTTATACAACATGTATTATTATATTCGTCAATTAGATATGGATATAATGATTGATTATATATAGTTATGATTAATATAATGTTGGGTGAAAGTTAACACTAGCTAACACTCATAGTATCTATTACATAATATAATTATAGTTTTCCTGCCATGGAATAATATCGCAAAGGATTAAATACAATGTTATATAATATATGTTATATTTTTTATTAATTAAAATATCAGTTTTATTTTTTTTAAAAATACAATTAATATGGTATATTCTCAAAATATTATTTACACAAATTTTTTATAGTTTCAATTTGTAATATACTAAATATCTGTTTAGAATTAAAAAAATAATATGTAATGTAGTGTTGTTAAACGGCTCTTTTGAGCCGATTTTTAAAAGCGTCTAACAGTTTTTTATCCAGAAAAATATTACGCAAGCCTGAAAATTTTGCTCATAGAAGGAGCAAAGGTCTAAACATATAATATCGAAATTTCGAGGCTTAGTCAATATTTTTCTGACGAAAATATTGAGTTAGCCGTTTTAAAAATAGGCTCCAAACGAGCCGTTTAACAACATTAATTAATATGCTTGCTTATTAAATGATAATACTCGGCGAAAAATATGATAAAATACCAAATAGGTGAATTTTTTGTATATACCAGGTAGAATATAATTTTAAAAAATTCCGAGCCTAGCCTAAAAAATTTTTTTAAAAAAAAATCCGGGCCAGGCCCAAAAAAATATTTAAATAAATATCCGGGCCTAAAATTTTTAAACCCGGGCCGGGCCGTGCAAATGGTACCTCTGCAGGTCTGAGAACCTTTTTAGAAAAAAATAAAATAGACTATAAAGTAAGAATTTGAAGCTCTTCAAGGATTTTAGTTTTGCATAACTGAAGATTCAATTTTTTTTATTTTTTTAAAAAAACTCATTGTTTTAAATAATATTTTTGAAAGATCAAAATCCAGGCGGTTCATTTGGATAATATTTTAAATATATTATTTTTTTCAAAAAAAATACAAATTAAGCAAAATGTAAAGTAAAAAAATTAAAATGATAAATAAATTCTAAATATAATTTTTTAGTTATAAAATATTTAGTGTAGCTTTGGGGTAAAAATTTGAATCAACCGTTTTTGGAATCGGCTGAAACGGCTACAAATGGAGTTGTTAATCAAATTTACTATTATGAATCACTAAAAAATAAATATATACTTTAAAAAAATTGATTTATAAGAAAAACTAATAGAAAAAAATGACCCAATTCTAATATATAACGAAAACATTTCTTAAAAAATATTGCATAATAAACTACCATAGTTTTTACAAAAATAAAAGTAACCTCCTTTGTAATGAATTAGATCTTTTAATGACCTTATCATTAATTTGATGTCACAATCTATTTATGTAAATTTTGATCCATCTTAAAGAAAAAAATGTTCTTGGTTTTGTATAAAAAGGGGGTGCTAAAAAATGAACAGATTGATTTAAAAAAATGTCTATAAATTTTTAAAACTCTTATTTAGATACAATTTTGAGGGGGACTTTGTCGCTATACCAAAATCTAAATCAAATGCTTTAACCCTTTTAACCAATAAAAGTTCTTAAAAACAAAGATATCTTTAATATTTTAAAAGTATGTAAATTTAATACACAACTAAAAGCTATTTAAATTTTTTTTTAAATTAAGATGATTAATTGGGAAACTACTTTGAATATTTAAAAATTTAATTTAGTTTGATGTGTATAATCGTCTAATGTAATAATTATTTATAAATTAATACTTATAAATAGATGTACCTTTTAATGAATTGCACGATTGGGGATCCTCATTTAAATAAAATTTGGTGTTGTTAAACGGCTTGATTCTAGCCGATTTTTAAAAATGGCTACTTAAATATTTTAGCCAGAAATATATTGTAGAGACCTCGAGATTTTATAATATATTTCCAGACCTTTATGCCATCTATGAGCAAATTCAGGTTTGCCTGATATTTTTTGGATAAAATAATGAATTAATCGTTTTTAAAAATCGGCTCAAATAGAGCAGTTTAACAACACTAATAAAACTGAAGGTTGAGAGGAATCTATTAAATAAATAAAATAATCAATTGAATATTTTGTACTTGAATTATTTAAAATATTACTTGTCTCATTTGGATATGCTAGATAATCTAATAAAATATTATCTATAAGATTATATTAAATACTTTTTTTTCATATAATATTTTTTTATTTTTCACCATATGATTTTATGCTTATGGCGAAAGAAAGCAAATTATAATAAAAAAATGATTTAAGTGTCACAAGGAAAAATATATGTATTTAAATTAAAATTAGTCTTAAAATTTGGTAGAAAGTTATTTAAATAAAATATAAATATATTTGTCTAAATAGATGCTATTTATTTAAAATTTGAGCCTTAATTTAAAAAAAAATAGTTACACCCCTTATCTTGTACAAGTGATAAGAAATATAGGGGTCAATATTAAAACAAACCATATTTCATAATAAGACGACCCAAATTTATTCATTAAATAAAACAACAATCTAATATCTATCCATTAAGAAAAATATAATATAATAAATCATAATTATCCAATTCTTCATTTCCCAAAGATCCACAGCTGACATCTTCTACCATTAATCCAATATCTCCAACTAAGGGCTTTTTCCTAACAATAAAACTCCATGTGATCATCTCCTCCTCTTCCTCCGTCAAGGAAAACTTAATTCCCCTGTCAGAAAATTATATTAAATTTATTTCTTCTTTTTTTCAACAGTTACAACACGCCCACCCTTCACAAGCCCAGCGTCCCTCTCTCTGTGGTGGTGTTGTATCGAATCACCTCTTTGAATTGCATCGAATCCCCCTTTGAATTGTATCGAATCACCTTTTTGAATTGTATCGAGACGCCTTGAAGACGTTCAGGGTTGTCGAATCGTCTTCCCTTATAATGATTTATAATATAATATCGCCGATACCCTTCAATATATAATCGCGAAAACACATATTATCGATAATGACATGTACATTGGGGTATCTGCATTTATAATCTATGGAACATTAATATGGACAATGTAATATCAGCAAAACATAATAATTCATTCACTTTAAGACATTTGGGAAATATGAGCTATAATACACATTATTTCGGTATGATTCATGGTAATTAAGAAATAATGATTTTACATATAATAATGTAATGTG